GTTGGAAATCTCCAATTGGTACTTTATGTAAACACGAAGAACAGCATTCTTTTCATAACAATTTCACGGACTTAGGTTAAAGCATTGTGAAAATGGGAAAGTAAATTCTGGATGCAGAGATTCGAAAAAGTGCCATGGCATCTACGAAGGGAATGCAGTCCAAATAAAGGGCGCCAGGAAATTAAGACTTTTCTTACAGGATTTATCGACCAAATGCCCAACGTTATGATCCATGCCCCGCAATAATGTCCTCAAGCTCACCACTACTGTGGAAGAACGGCGACTACGTTGGCTGGGGAATGTGTTGAAACGAACTTGAACAAAGGAACTCGCTTAAATCGCACCGCATGGCATCAGAAGGGAGGATGACAAGTGAGTCTTCTCAGCAGGTCTTCAAAATGTTGAGCCCATCGTTTTCCACGGCTAGTAGTGCCGAACAGGAATTTGCCTTTGCCGTTGTGCAGCACACCTGTGACCAAATTTTTCTTTTCGTCGCTGCCACTCAGAGTCACAAACTGCCTGTACACTCACCGTTCTTCAGTCCCCTGCGTTCACTACATTTTCCCACTTTGTTGCTTCCCCCTCCAGCCTTTGTCGCTGCCTCATTTTCGCTCATTAGCACCCATTTATCGCTTTACCGAGGCGTCAGTGTATTCCTCGCCACGTATCATCGATGCTGGTTACTTCCACCTGTTTAGCTGTCTTTTGTTCCTCATGAACCTTTAGGGTCTCGAGAAAACCCGATGGTCCTCGCTACTTACTCGACGATGCTGCATACAGCTGTTCATAGAGCAACTCGGACGACTGTAAATTATTTAGCCGTGCAGTAATGAATCAGCTGACAGTTTCCACCTTGGGCACTTCTTGAGTTACAAGATTCATCAAATTGTTCAGATCCAGTTGGGCTTACCTTTGGACTTCATGGTCCTTCTTCTTATTGCTAGATGGAGGCGGAATTTTGCGACTGCTAGGAAGTGGTCGTATCCGACGCCTCTGTCGGCCCCGCGCCTCGATCGCATTTCGTGGAGGGAACTTTGCCAAGCGTTGTTCACGAAGACATGATCGATTTGATTTTTGAAGTTCCCCTTTGGTGTTGGCCACG